GCTGGAATCTTATCGGCTGCAACATTCCGGACCGAATATGCACCCAAGTACATTCCTACTCTCATTGTTACCTGCTGCTGCAACGTGTTGGCGATGGCATCGGCGTTGATCCTCGGCGGCTGGATGAAATTGGAGAACCGGCGAAGGAACAAGGCCCAGGGTGTCAACCTTCAAGCTCAGGATGTCGATACATCAGAGCTGCATGACGGCGAGAAATCGCCCAAATTTCGATTTTTCACTTGAAGTAGTGCTGCTGTAGACTTTTCATTACTAGCAGAAAAAGCCAACCTCAAATCCATTGATCCTTCAATAATATTCACAATTGTAGGCCGAGACCCATCTCCTTAAAGTCTGTCAATATTCTGATATCCCACACGTCAGGTGGATTGACATGGCAATTTGAGCTGATGAGGCCATCCAGGCGTTGAACACAATCATGGGCATGAGCTCTTTACCACGTTCTGGAAAGTGATGGTCAGAGGATCATCATCCTACCTATCGGCAAAGATCCGATTAACTATTCCCCCAACGGACTTGAGCTAACGTGCGGGATTTCGCGAGTGGGGGAACATTAGCCAGCTGGGAAAATCCACTTGTAAGCCGCCGTAACGAATTACGATAAGGTCGCAAACCCCGGATTCATCCGGCTGGCCTATCGGGCCTGCATATCAAAACTGGAGACAGCCGGCCGACCAGATAGGAGAATGTAAGTTTATCGTGGACTTTGGGCTCGGTACAATGTGAGGTGCATTTATCTTTATGCTCTCTGGACAGGTCTTTGTCTTCAACATCATTCTCCTTATCTTCATCGTCATCCTATCAGCAATCATGGCCGTACTCAATATCGTCGAAGCCTCAATCGAAGAATTACAGAATGCTTTGAACAGCGGTTCAATTACCAGCGTCGAGCTTGTAACGCGTTTGCTTCGCCGGATCAGCACTTACGACTGTCGAGGCCCTACACTAAATTCGATTCCGATCCTTAACAATGACCTTTTCGAACAAGCTGCCAAGTCTGATGACCGAAGGGCATCTGGCGAGAAAGTCAGGCCCCTGGAAGGGATACCTTATACGGTCAAAGACAGCTACAAAGTCAAAGGAATGGTAGCCGCTGCAGGATCTCCTGCTTTCGAACATCTAATTTCCAACGAAGACGCTTTTCTTGTGAAGCTCATTCAAGATGCTGGCGGGGTGCTCATTGGCCGGACAAACATGCCTGCAATGGCTTGCGGCGGCATGCAGAGGGGCATCTGGGGAAGGGCCGAGAATCCTTACAACCCAGACTATCTGGCTGCAGCATTTGCTTCAGGTTCATCCAACGGATCGGCTGTTTCTACAGCAGCATCGTTCGCAGCTTTTGGGCTTGGAGGCGAGACGGTCTCATCTGGCAGATCGCCTGCTTCCAACAATGCCCTTATCGCTTACACTCCCTCGAGGACCTTTCTATCGAATCGCGGCAGTTGGCCTTTGTATCCAACATGCGACGTACCAGTGCCTCATACAAGAAGCATGAAGGATATGTTAACTCTTCTGGATGTTATTACTGCACCTGATCCAGTTGCCAAAGGCGATCTCTGGCGAGAGCAGAGAAGCGTCCAGTTACCGCAATCTTGGGAGGACCGGCCTGAGAGCTTCAAAACCCTTGGCTCGTCAGACTCATTGTCTGGACTAGTTATTGCTGTGCCAGAAATCTTCCTTGGTGGACCGGTTCCCGAAGGAGCAAAGCCTATTCAGACGAGCCCGGCAGTTGTTGAATTGTGGAAGCAAGCACGAAAGGATCTTGAGTCACTTGGCGCGAAGATTGTCATGGTTTCCGACTTTCCGCCTTTGACAGCTTACGAAAATGATAACCTTCTGCCGGAGAGATGTCCGCGAAGGCCGGCGGACTGGCATGCTACTGAGAGAGGAGCATTAGTAGCACATACTTGGAACAACTTCCTTCGAGACTTCAATGATTCAAAGCTCCCGGATATCTCTGCAGTGGACGCATCGAGGATCTATCCAGACAGTATGAGGACTGGGCCGGAACTACAACACTTCGAGAAGCCTAACGCGATTCAGTACCATCGGCTGGCCGAATACGCCAGCAAAGGGAGTATTTTTGATGTAGAAGGTCTGGATCAAGCTCTCAAAGCTTTAGAGGGCATGCGAAAGGTTCTTCTTGAGGACTGGCTCACGGAAGTCGGCTGCGATTGCGTTGTCTTTCCCGCTGCTGGCGATGTGGGACCTGCCAACGCAGACTCAGACTTTGAGGGGGCATCGCTGGCTTGGCAGAATGGCGTCCACTACAGCAACGGAAACAGAGCCATTCGACATCTCGGCATACCTACCGTCTCAGTTCCTATGGGCATCCTGAGAGACAAGCGTGTGCCCATGAACCTCACGTTCGCTGGCAGAGCTTATGATGATGTCCAACTTCTGAGATGGGCGAACGCTTTCGAAATAAGAACAAAACATCGCAGTCCTCCGCTACATACGCCATATCTTGAATCTGATCTTCTTCAACTTTCAAACAACAAGAAGAACAAATCGCCGAGGCCAAAGCTAATTATAAGCACGTTCACGACGGTGCCAGCATCTGATGAGACTAACCCGCTGTTGGCTGATATTCTTGTCGAAGGATCCGTGACAATGAGTGCGCCAATGGAAGATTTGCCGGAAATTGAGATTACCATTGACGCACAAACACTTCATCCAAGTTGCATCGACATACAGAGACAGTCCCAGTCTTTAGAGGGACAGTTGGTATTCTCATTCAGGTTCAGAAAGAAAACTTCAAAGCCTCCCACAAAACAGGGTTCAGACATGACGCTGGCTCCAGTTGCTCGAGACAAGATTATGGTGGTGGTTCTAGCAAAGGCTCCAGCAAAGGGTAGCCCATCAGGCTGGATGGGGCTGATTTAGATGCACCTCCAGCAAATGCTCGCAGAATCGAGCGTGGCTAGATATGATAGATCTCACAGTTCTGACAATGCAGCAACCATGCACTGTTTTCAAATTAATTTGCGTATTTAATCCAAGTGATGATTGAAAGGCGCTTGGTTTGGGGCCATATTGTTCTATTTAGGCAAAGCCCTAGCCCCAGTAAGGTAAGTAGATGAAATCTCTTTCCTACACAGTGATTGTTGCGCCGTGTACTTGACAGCACAATGATGAGTTTACACCTCAGCTTCTAAGACGTTTGTTAGATTAGAATAGAAGGCCATGTCAGAAGGGAAACACGATGAATTCTACAATGTTGAGATGCTTTGCGTCTACCGCCTACGGGTAGGAACCCCTACGGGTACAGACCAATAGCCCTACCTCAGTGTCAATCATTTCTTACCAAACAAGCAGATTACCTTTCACCCTTTTTCCTCGTCATGATATACTTTCGATCGACGTGCTTCTCTGAAGCCGCTCTTCACTGACTTGCTGTATCTCCTAGACCGCGACTGCTCTCAGAATTTCAGCAAAGCGATCTGAAGATATTGGCGTCGGTTGAAACTTCTCTTTGCCATCTCTGACTAGTCTGTGCAGTTCTGCTTCAGAATACCATTCTTTCCTGTGCTTCTTGGGATTTAGATCTTCGGATGGCCAAGGTTGTGTGCCATCGCTGCCTATGTAGCCAACCAGCTGTGGTCGTCGGTTTGCCAGGGTTGAGGAGTTTGGATTGAAGTCATGTTCGCCAGTGGCGTACCCATGTGCTGTGCGAAACATTGTATCATTTACCTTGTACGACGTGGTCACATGCCATCTATCCGTTCTGTAAGCAGGCTTACCACTTGGCCGAAAGCCGGCTTTGGTTGTTTTGTGCAAATGAGACATAAACCAAAGAAAGCAGTGATGAGCAAAGGTTTAAATCAGTGATAGACAATTCTGAAGTAAAAATGCACATACCTGATGAGAAGAGATCGCACTTGATTTTGATTCAAGAGTGCTGTCTTCCAGTGAGCTTTGAGTAAATCAAGAGGATGTTGACTATTCAAAAGACCCGGTTTGTTGATTTTCCGGATCACTTCAACATATCCCTTGGGAGGACTGATACCTGACATTGTGTTGGTTTTCTTTTAGTCTTAAATTTGTGGTGTTTGTAGCCTGGCTGCTACAATTACCGTTGGTGGAGTGTCGATGTGCGTGATGCTCTATAATAAGAAAGTACTTGGAACTACGAGCAATAATTGAGACTTATAGTTATTCTTCAGTATCATATGTATTCCGTAGAGACTAAGAAAGGCTCTTCTAGGATAGTTAGGTAGTCCTGAAATGCTAATAAAGATGATCGATCGGAATTAGAGACCACTAAGTTTCATATCCAAGAAGATGAAAGAAGGTCTCTGGCTTGCCGACAACGACTTCTTCTCACACCTTCTGTATAGAATCTGTAGCTAGATTTTCATTGTTACATTTCAGATAATCACAAATGCAGTGCCTTTCAGTGAGGACGATGTTGTGGTAGATGTTTTGTATTCATGTATTGATGATAACCCATTCATAAATCGGCCACCAGAAGTCGCATTCGTCCTTTCGTTTCGCTAATATCTTGAAACTTAGAGTGTCTTACTTTGATCGGTCTAACCACCCAGATTGAAAGCCACCTAATGCAGTCCGTTGGCCACAGTGCTTTGCCCTGCCTTATCTTTCTACGTGAGAGATTGCTCCTTGTTTCTATTTTCACACATTCACACCCGCGCTTTCAGTCCATTGTGCTAAAGATATAGAATAACGCAGGGGCCTTAGGCCTAGGGATATTAGCAGCAACAAACAGTCCGTCTTTGTGCCCGCTTTGACAGTATTATCACGCACATGTTTGAGGTCGGCACTCCTTGTCGTAGTCATTCTGTTGCCTTCGGTCACTTTACTTGGAATCTATGTCATAAACCCCAGGACACCCGTTCATGTTGTTCGCTTCAATCGCTTGCCAGTGTTCATCTTTTATGTCTACTTTACCCATTCTACCACTGAGAAAATATTCAACGACAAAATCGCATTCTCCAAACTTTGACATCAAGCTTTTCGACATGGGGCTCATATGGGACCTCTTCCACCTCAATCGAGAATCTAAAACTGCAGTCATCAAGTACATCAAAGCCGTCGTAGCTGAGCAACAAAGTCAACCGTTGACCGAAGAACAACGAGACAATCTTTCGTATCAGTACTGGGACAATGAGGAGCCTGAAGAGCCGTACATGGCCTACGAAGAGGGTATGTTTCATCCTGTTCAACTTGGCGATCAGCTTGGAAATGGCAAGTACATTATTGTGAACAAACTTGGAGACGGCTCCTTCTCCACAGTGTGGCTTGCACATAGCACCAAGACAGGAAAGAAGGTTGCTGTGAAGATCTGTGCCTCGGAAAGTGAGAGTTCATCGAAGGGTGACGAGATGAGAATCTCAAGGATGCTTCGAGACGACTCGTCCCATCCTGGCCATCGCGTCATAGGCTACTACAACGACAATTTTCTTCACCATGGGCCCAATGGTACCCACGAATGTCTTGTTAGCGAGCCAACACGTGCCACGATAGCGGAGAGCAAATTCAGAGGATTCGTATTCCCTACTGAGATTGCACGAGCTTTGGCGGCACAACTGGTGCTCGGGGTTGCATACATTCACTCAAAGCATATTGTGCATGGTGGTAAGTTCTCAGTTCCAATCTAACACGTCAAATACACATAAGGCTGACCATGAGGATATTGCTGAAGATCTCCACGGAGGGAATGTGATGCTAGCTATGCCGGCTGGCGAGTTCGCTTGCCTGACAGTGAAAGAAATCTATGAGAAATACGGGAAGCCAATTATCTTGCCGATGGATCTTTGTGTGGAGGCTACCGATTTCCATGAAGAATACCCTCTGCCAAAGAACGCGCCCCCATACATGCTATGGAAGATGTTTCTCACGCAGGACTGTGACGACCTGGAACTGTCGGAAGCACGGGCACAGATCAAGGATTTTGGTGAATCATGGCAACCGGAGCTAGTGACGCGGTACGAACTCAACACGCCCGAGCCATATCGGGCCCCCGAATCGATGATCGCCAAGAAGCTACAATTGCCCATCAGCTATCCCGCTGATGTCTGGGCACTGGGATGCTTTGTCTTCGAGCTTTACGGCAGGATGGACATCTTCGAGACATACTTTCCTGGTTACGATGGTGTCTTTGCCACAATGGTCCATTGTATGGGCAAACCCCCGGCATCGTGGTGGGACGCCTGGGAAAAGCGCGAGAAGTACATTGACGATAATTGCAACTACGTCAGAAAGGGCAAGTCGGATCCGACACCTGCGGAGCCGGACACAATCAAACTACGAGTGCTGGAGGAGATCCCTGACCACAGAGCCATGAACAGGTTTCCTGAAGAGAAGACTTTTGTGCCTGAGGAGGAGTTACAGGACCTGGCAGCGATGTTGATGCGGATCTTCCGTTGGGAGCCCGAAGACAGGGTGACAGCAGAAGAGCTAATCAGCGACCCATGGATGCAGAAATGGGGCATTCCGGCGAAGGAAGCCATGGAGGTGGCTTACGAGAAGAGGCGCAAGGAGCACGAGAAGCCCCCGTTCTTGTCGAAGTCGGTGGCCGTTGGTTTAGCGGTCGGCGCTTTTGACAGACTGGCCTACATTCTGTCTCTATTGTCTCAAACTTCTTGGTGGCGCAATCTGAAGTGGGCTTTGGGGGCATGAGACGCTCGGCTTGTGTTTATCTTCTGTGCCGTGTCTTGGCGAGAGGAAATTTGGCAGAAATGAAGGGAAACGGTTGGAGTGCTGGCGTTACCTGTGGGTACGGATCATTTGTAAATCGCATTAAGATTGCACATGCGGATGCCATCCCATTGGCGTACTTGGTCACTAAAGATAGTGGAATACCTCTGCAACAAAACGGCGCCGCTGGCCGCTTGAAGACTTTTCAACTCAACTTCATTGTAGTCTGGAACCCACGACATATTGAATAGAAGTTTTCATCAATCAAATCAGCCACTTTGTGATTTGATCATTGTCATGGCAAGGCAAGCCTCGCGTTCAAGGAGTGCATTTCTAGTGCAATCTATTCGTGATTGGTGGCTTTGTTGGGGTTGAAGAGCCTAAGTATACGAAGCATGTTGCTCGAATTCGACCTCCTTGGTGAGCCGAGCGCGGAATTGCGCCGACGTAGCTCACACTAGACGCAATATGATCCGCGGTCTAGGAGCCGAGACGAACCGATCATCTCATACCCGCGAAGTTTCCTCAAACGCAAACCGAGGTCCCGGAAACGAGAGAATACCTCAAACCCCCACACTTCAGTGAAGCTACGGGAAGGCTGCATTCCTGGCGCGTGGCTTGAGGTTTGCGGGGTAATTTAATTAGTGGTAGAGCCAAGTGTTGAGGCGTGTCTTGTCAGGAACTTCTGTCAAAATGTGCACAAGCGATCCAAAACGCCACATTGCGAACTGTTGTTTTCGACGCAAAGTTGCTCTCAGCCAAACGCAGGTGTGTGGGGGAGAGCTCCGGGCATCCGGCGGCGTCCGCCTTTGGTTCCTAAGTCCGGTTGTCTCTGTCTCATCTGCATGACCCTACATCCACCTGCAGCATCCATCGGACCGAGAACAATCTAACCGGTCGTCGCAGTCGTACTCTGCTATTCAGTCCAACAGGCAACAAGTTCGAGTCAACCAGGAAGACGAATTGTGACTACGCAGCAGACAATATTACTCACACTTCCTGCATCGGCGGACGGAGTGGATCAGAACCAAGTCCGACCCGGAGCCGGGGTGGAGTTGTGAAGCTACGAATGAGAATTTACGGGGCAAATTTTTAAGATTTGATGATCCCAGAGTGAGCTCGAATTCAGGCTCGGGTAACTCCCGCGAAAGCCATCCGGAGAATAAGAGTTTGCTTACGGATGCCGACTCTCCCAGGCATATGAGAGGTTCGCTTCGGATACGAGACGCCGTCTCTCGTTGGCGGCCGTCAGTTGGTATTATTCAGCTTCCCACATGACGCCGATGCCCGTTCCGCGTGGCTCTAGCCCTCAAAGGGCTGCACAAAGGTGCATATTATTGGGAAGCCGCTTGCTTGCTTCGCACCAAGAGGAAACGCGGGGTTCGGGTGGGAGGTTGGGGCGACAAGCAGGGAAGCCAAGCAGCCCCAGCAAAGCAGCAAGGGATGATCAATACCCATTGCAAACCCCCATCCCTGCTCGATGCTACCGCTGCCGGTCTACTCCAACCCGGGCCTAGACTCGCGTTGGTGCCGTCCTTTTCGAGGACAGTCTGTGGAGTCGGGAGGATCACCGACCCTGTCGTGAGTGTGAGTCGTCGCGCCGAGGTCGGGCGCAAGAAAGAAAAAAAGTAACTGAGTGAGTGACCTTGCTAGACAGAAACCGTCGTGGAGGAAAAAGAATGGGTGACGAAATATAAGCTGACGGCCACCCTGAGAGATCTTCGGCTCCTTCTGGTCGCTGTACCCTTAAAGTTTCTGTTTCTTCTGCTCTCTTGCCGGGTTTTGTATCCGCGAGGCCGTCCTTGTTGGTTGGAGAGTCCTACTTTCGTCAATCTTACCAACACCCCGGGGCCATTGAGCTCAATCGACCCCCAAGATGCAGTTCGACAAGGAGAACAAGGCTGCGGAGTCGCCATCGCGCTCCCTTGACCATGCGACAGACCTAGATCGACCGGTCTATGGCGATGATGCCCCCATCGAATGCCCTCCTCACACAACAGAGTCGAAGCTCATCACAAAGATCGACTTCCGCGTCATCCCATTCCTGTGTGTCATGTACCTTCTGGCCTTCCTCGGTAAGCTCTCCCCTGCTCTCAAGCTGCCGCGACTCGACGGCAGCCATCGCTCGAAGCCTTTGCAATTGCCTGCATGCTGACCAGAAACGCAACGCACTAGATCGCGTAAATATCGCCAACGCCAATGTCTTCGGACTGTCAAAAGAGCTCGAGCTGGACGGTACACTGTACAACAACGCGCTCGTCGTCTTCTTCGTGCCATACATCCTCCTCGAGATCCCCTCCAACATCCTCCTGAAGAAGTTCAAGCCCCATGTCTGGCTCAGCATCAACATGTTTGGCTTCGGCCTTGTCACCATGCTCCAGGGCTTCGTACAGAACTATGCTGGCCTCTGCACGACGCGTTTCTTCCTCGGTGTCTTTGAGACGGGCATGTTTCCGGGAGGTATGCGACCATCAGCCGCCCTTTGACCGATGCCTTTCGTCCACGGAGCTAACCAATATCTCTTTTTTTCAGCGTTCTACCTCATCGGCATGTGGTACCGTCGCCACGAAGCTCAGCGCCGCTACTCCTTCTTCTTCAACAGCACCACCCTCGCCGGCGCATTCGGCGGTCTCCTTGCTGCAGCGATCGGAAAAATGAGCGGCGTCCGTGGCTACGCCGGCTGGCGCTGGATCTTTATTCTCGAAGGCCTCCTAACTGTCGTCGTCAGCGTCTTCTTCTTTTTCTGGCTGCCTGATTTCCCAGAGGACGTGAAGTGGCTCAGCGAAGACGAGAAGGCCTTTGTGTCGGCACGCTTGCGCGCGGACCAGGGCCGCTCTGCCGTTGAGCGCAAGATTACCTTCCGCGACGTCGGACGCATCTTCAAGGACTACAAGGTCATTGTCGGAGGCTTCATGTACTTTGGCCTCATCGTTCCGGCGTACGGGTATGCCTACTTCGCACCGGGTATCATCCAGACCTACGGATACGACAGTATCCAGACGCAGCTGCACAGCGTGCCACCCTGGGTTGTGGCTTTTGGCTTCTCGATGATCATTGCCTTCATCTCAGATAAGACGCGGCACCGGTTTGGATTCGCAATCTTTGCTATTTGTGTGGCAATCGCTGGGTTCGCCATCTTGATTTCTGTTCACAACAACACGTCTGTGCAGTATGCGGCGCTGTTCCTCGTCGCAATGGGCGCGTACACCGCCATGCCAATGTAAGTCCAAACAACGCATTCTGCATCCTCTGTAGATGTGATTAGAACTGCGTGCTAACTTTAGCCTTCCAGTATTGTTTGTTGGTTCAACATGAACCTGGGTGGCCACCACCGACGTTCTATCGGCAGTGCTTGGCAGGTTGGTTTCGGCAACATCGGCGGTATCATTGCTGTGTTCGCTTTTCTGAAGAAGGATGCGCCAAAGTACATCCCTGGCTACAGCATCAGTATCGCTTTTGTTATCCTCAGCGGCCTTGCATGTTTGGTGTATGCGATTGGCTGCTGGTCTGCAAACAGGCACAGAGATCGCACCGCGGCGGAGTCATCGTTGACGGAAGACGAGAAGATGGAGCTCGGAGATATGTCTCCTGATTACAGATATTTGCTGTAGACATCTATCTCGAGATAAAGTAGGAGTTGCCTTGATGGTTGACCTGCATAATGAAAATAATTCCTCTGCACAAATTACTTATGCTACCCCGCCGTTTCGATGCATCAACATCCGGTCCTAACTAGGACCTACGTGTTACTGCTCACAACAGCCAGCACTCTTTTGTTAAATCATTTCGGGTACTGATAGGCCGCAACCTTAGAGCAAGCTCTCCAACTCCACGACCTTCGTCGCCTTCAATTCATCTTTGTGCCATGTTGTTGCAGTAGAGTTGAACTGTTGGCCCCTTCTAATTTTGATCTGCATCGCATACGCACTCCCTTAAACATTGTGCATGTCTATGCAAGGGTGGCTTTCCGACTTCCAACAGCTTTCAATCACCATCATCACCCCTCTCGAGATGTTGAACACATGCGAAAGCAAGGAACAGTCGCAATCACCAACCAGTCACCAACATATGGGGCATTGTTGGACGTGATCCGCCCGATGGCACACATCCCATTGGACCATCAGGCGCTCTCCAAGGGGCCGTTTGCCGGGGCATTTATCAATTCAGGGGGGCTGCATGCGGCGTAACACTGTTGGTCCAACAAACATGCAGAGTTCCCGTTGGTTTTCGCTTCCGCGCCGCGGCCGCCCGCTTTTTCGCGCCGGTCGCCTCAGATGGTCGTCAATCAAGAATCTCATGCAAAAGGTGCTACTTCCTCCTGCGCAGACTTCAATGTCTGGTTTCCTCAGTATCAACCAGTACACAGAGTTGCCAATGTGTTGTGTGAGTCCACAACTCACCCTAAACCACCAGCACGATGCTCCCGGAAGCCCTTGTCAGCGTTTACCAGTCGTACAAGACGGACACGGACTTCATTACTACTTGGCTCGCGACCACAGCACGAGCGTACGGTTGTCCTGCAGAGCTCATCTCAGGGCTTCGAGACACAACAGACGACAAAGCTGACTCGGTGCCGGAAGATGACAAGCCAGCCAGTCAACGCAAGGGCAAGTCAACCAAAGAGGCATCAAAGTCATCGCAGAAGAAACCTCGCAAACGATACATCCTCGCCGCCAAGGATCTCCTACCGCTGGCTCAGTTCCTCGCAACATCAAAGAAGCCAGCCATCACCCCTCCGGATAGTCTAACCGCCGCTCTTGATAGAGTGATCGATCTCAGGGCCAAATTCAGCACTCAGCTGGTTGAGCATGGTGCCACGACCAACGCTCAAGACGACAGCACCCATTTCTACTTCCTCAGGGTCTTGTGTCAAGTACGCCATGCTTTGACAGCTCATCGAGCTGCTTCCCTAACCAACACAGCAGCCTCAACTGGCGATGCTGCCGAGAAGCCCCAGCCATCAGCCAACAAGTTTGAAGGAC